CACAACCTTCCAATCAGCATTCGGCCGGCCGGCGAAGTCCCTCCCTACTCTGTCTCTATCCTAGTAATTTGTTTTCGCTAACGTTTCTACAGATATAGTGGAAAACCTTCATAATGCTGCTTCCTATGCGTTGGTGCGAAGCTCCCATAAAACTCAAGGCCGGAGCAATATCCTGTTTATGAATAACTCTTTGTATTCTTCCAGTGTCTGCAACTGACCTTACTACTCTGTATTGCAGTGTTTCACACTTTGTAATTGTCAATTGCCCTTCTCAGCCACCGTAGTAGTGTTCTCAAAATGTAAAGTACTGGAAGAAGTTCATAAAGAAATATTGGCCCTTTTAAACATTGATTTACTGACAGACCCACTGTATATTATAAGAGCATTCCTGTTGAAGCTATGGGAAAGAGTTAGGCTTACTTGCTGTATATTATTTTGTTTGTCAAAAATAAAAAATTCCTTCCCACTTCACTTTAATAGTAGACATATTAATATGTACTCAAAGGAAAATAAATAAAAAGCAAAACTCTATGTAAATAGACAATATGTTTTCAAACAGATGTGCTCCTGTAAATATTCATTTTAGATTACTTATGTGATAAGGCGATATAGTGATTTAAATTTATTAAATTGTTAAATTTATTTAAAAAACAGTTTGATTACTGCCAGACAACCATCATATAATCAGACATCTGATATAAAAGACACGGTTTTATCATTGACTATCTGAACACCTTTTATCATCTGAATATGACACACATTCTTGACACACAACAATAATATTAAGAGAGCCATTAAGAGTGATTCAACTTATTTTAGCTCACAGTTTGAAGGTTTAAAAAGTACACACAAACAGAAGAAGCACTTTGCCATCAAACTAAAAACAAACTGCTTTAGTTCTTTGGTTTCCTGAGTTATGTGTTCTCATCATAATTGGGTTATTTTATTGTAATAATTCAAAGCCAAGAAAACACGAGTGAAGATAACAAATTTGAATATTGAAGATGGGTGTTTTACTATGTTTGCATAATGAATGTGTCTGTGTCGGCTGGCAGACTGCTGGAGGAGGGGAACTTGGAGGCTGCAGAGGAACAGAAGCAGAGGATTGAACAGCTGCAGAGAGAGAGAAGGAGAGTCCTGGAGGACAACGTAACACATCAACCCAAATTCTTCAGGTCGCCCTAATAAGCAGATATATACACTTTTCACTAAGAAAATCATTATATGAGCCTGTTTTTGCTCTCAGTAGTGTTTTATGGAGATAGTAGAAGCTTGTGTCATAATTGCAGTTCCAACACACTTAACTATCTTTTACAGTATTCTCGTTTTTCTGCCTCCACAGGAAGTCAAAGGACGATACCTGGGTGAGCAACAACACATACTGGGAGCTGAGGAAGGACCTTGGCTTCACACAAATAGATTTTCCTACACTGTGGTGACCCCTGAACTACAGATCGCAAACACTTTGTCCTGCACAGCCTCTACTGTGATGCCGGCGCGGTTCTGATAATGTGACTGTATCCCAGTCTTACCATCCACATTCAGTGTTGGTCTTCTTTATTGCAGTTCATCAAAGTTATTGCCTTAATAACAAGTGCTTATGTAAGTTATGTAAACATTTTTATGCAAACATATATTGAGAATGTTGATACATTTAGGCAACTTTTGCCCATATTTTCACCTGATATGTTACACTGTATCACTCAAACTGAGAAAAAGGAAAACTACTTTGTTTAAAGGATGATAAATCCTTTTCATAACTGGTACTACTACACTAGCTTAAAATGTATTGAACAACTGGTCACTTTCACTGTTTTCTAATCATGGACATTCTCTACCTCTGAGATAAACTAGCCTTGATATGCCATTGATGATGAAGTGTACACATCTGATATTTATTCTGCACCTGCCTGATGCCTTACTCGTCGTACTCGTATTATTTAATTTATTTTGGTTGCATCTCTGAGATCCAAATTATATCTAAATCCATACTCAATGTTTCTTTCTGTTTCATAACTGTAATTACTGCTTTTTGCTATGATTGTGTGAATGATTGTGCCACTATGAGCAGCAGAAGCAACTATTTTTCACTGTATCTATTCCACCATCGTTTACTTAGACCCTGGGCTTTGGGATCAAACGTGTCCAAAACTATGCTCCATGAGATCAAATAAAGTCTCTGATGCTTTTTGTTTTTGTGGTGTCATTGTGACTTCGTATTTGAAACATTCAAAACTTAAAGCCAGACTGTTAGCGTAATTTACACATAACTGAGACACTGCTTTGACAGACTCTTGTGTAATTTTTGGTTGAATGTGCACACACAGTAAAAATCATAAAACACTGAATCTGTTCTACAGCTCAGGTGAGGTTAAGGACTCTCTGAGTGTTTAGATAGTTAACTTAGTCTAAGTTATCTCAGTGGGTCTCAAACAGTTTGGTCACCATTTATGTAAACACATATTTCCATTTGAGGGGGTAGTGATTAGTAAAATATGCATGAATAAAAAAAGAAAAATGTTAAATAGGTGAAAAAAGGTAAGATACACTTTTAAAACTTGTTGAGAGCTAAAACTAGTCTTTGCTACAGGACAGGAGAGGCTGGTTCAGGAGCCCAGACACACTCACAACTAGAAATGAACCAAAATAAACAAGTTTCAGTGTTTTTTTCATATTGGATATGGTATGTTATTGGTTATGGCCATGATTATGTATTTAAATGTATACAGTTCTGTTTCATAGGTGTTCCCATAGATCTAGTCTCTTTATTTCCCCTCAAAATGCACCAGATTGATGCATTTAACTCCAAAATTTAAAAAAACATCTTACTGGGGGAGATGCCCCCGGACCCCCCTAGAGGATCTGAGGTCCACCCCCACTTAAAATATGTTCACATGGATAGGTTCCCAAATACATTTGCACATTTTTTTAAATAGTAACCCTGTCCATGTGCTTATTATTGGGTAGTAGATTTAAACTATAGGGCTATCACTATGGGCAGCAACGCTGTAAATATTCACAAATAAATCCAGCAAAATGGCACAAAAAAAAACTGGTAGTGGCCTGGCTGGGTGTTTCATTCCCGGCCTGACTTATTGTCCCAGTCCTGTGTGTGTGTGTTTGTGAGTGCCAGGTGTGATTCACATGGGGGGATTGGGCACATAAGGGGGGGGGGGGGGGGGGGGGCACATCTAGAGTATGTGTGGGTGTGGGTGTTTGTGTGTGTGTTTTATTTGATCCGGATGGTTACTAATTCCATTTATTTATGGCGGTCATTTTTGACCGGGAACACCATGGGTGTTGACTAAATCATCCAAAATTCAATGAAAGTGGTGATCAGCAATTCTATATGTTCAAATGTCTACTGTGAAGGTTATCATAAAGCCTTAATGCAATCGAATGTAAAACAAAAAAGTTATGATTGATGAAAGTGGGTCAATATCACTATAAAGTAACTTAGGTGTCCCCATCAGAATCACTGAGTTATCATAAAAATGTAGCAGAATAATGAAACTCTGAGGTCTTATTATAAAAGGCCAAACATTTACACACATATCAGTACAATGATAAGTCTCTTGAAATGTGTTTCCTTCATTTTATACCTTATTTTTTCATTGGATGTACGTGATTTTGGCATGTCCCACACACTGCTCTGCTAACTACAGTGTGTGTAATAAGTGGTTAAATCATACTACATTTAAAAAATAATTATATGGTTTTATTGTCCACAACGAGTTATTTGATAAAACGAGTCATTTTGATCATGTATATTCTATTTTCATAATTATATTAAACATTTTGCATGTGTCCCTGACATTTGCTGTCCACCCTGTCATTAAGGGGTAACTGCCCCATAAAAAACCCTCTGATGTTTTCAGTGACATCACTACCACCATACTTATATTTCGAAATGTTAATCATATTAAGTGTGTAGTTGGATGTTGTCAAGCTTAACATGTCCACTCTGTCATAGTGAAATGTCAATTAATATAAAAACCTTTCAGAAATTCGAAATATATTTGTTAAACAGTACACAGTCACCTTGCTAACTGAATCATGTTGCTAACTGAAGGTCCAGCATGTGCTCATTAAATGCTAATATTAGCCAAAAATGTCCACCCTGTCATTGTCCACCCTGTCAGCAAGCCTTCCATAAATAATATAAAATGTACATTTTCAGAAAGCTATAGTCCCTTTCTCTAGCTTTCTGAAAATGTACATTTTATAATTATTAATCACTATGTAATTACAATGTATTAAATCTTTGAATTGTGTCCATGACAGGGTGGATACATTTTGCTGTTTGCATGTACTTGCAGTTAATTTATAAAAAGTGTGGGAGCTTGACGAACATCCATTTCTAACAGCATAACGTATACTTAATAGCCTACAATGAATATGAAGTTCAATGGAAAATCTCAGATTTTTTTTGGGGAAATGGGGAACTCTCAAATGCACCGTATGGTGATATTGACTCACGTAGTAAATCGGTCAGATTTGACCCGAAGACAACAGGAAGGGTTAAATATATTCATATCCAAGGTAACTCCACCACTGTGTAACTCTCAGTATGAGTCAAGGGTCATGGATCACTCTCGTGCAGCTCACAATGTTTATATTGCAACTGTGTCACAGCAGAGAGGCAGGACGTGAGGACGACCTGTTTTACAGCCTCAAGCCACTTACAAATGGAGTGACTGTGGTCTGCGGGTGATCAGTTTTGTACCCATGAGTGAATTATGATAAACAGTGATAAACAGTGATCACTACAATATACAGTAAAAATATACAGTCTTATACAGTCTCATTTAAATATAAAGTATTAATGTATATAGTTAAATGCTTACTTACAATGCTGCTTACTAAATCTGATATGAATCAGAGAAACTGTAGCCTACAATAATTTGCTTGAACTTGTTTAACAGGAGCCTCAGAAACACACCCATCGTTCCATAGGGCGAGGCTTATTTATGTTTCAAAACAAGTAAGATCTTGTTGTCATTTCACAACCTATAGTACTCTAGACTATGAGAGTATGATGAAGCATTGCCTTCTCTAGAAATCTGACATTGAAACATCTTTCTTCTCTGGATCATTACTAAAACTGAGATTTGTGGTAAGCGGTTAAACTCGTAGCATTTGTTTCGACGCTGTTTTTGTTCTGCAAACCGGCGAATTCACGAGCAAAACGACTTGAGACTGGTGTATTCTGGTGCTAGGTGTAGCATGCGTTTTCAATGAAAGGACGTGTTTGCAAGTGGCTATTTCTTTGAGTATTCTTTATTTCGTGTTGCTTGACATGCGTTAGAAGAACAGTAAGGTAAGGGTATTACACACTGAGCATCTCACATTCTTCTAGCTAAAGACTACACTATGACTTTTTCAGGACATTTTCAATTGCAGAAAATACTATGACTTTTGGTTTAAAAAACTATTTCAGAACAAATATACTGGGACTTTTTTGACAATTTATATGACATTTTTTATAAAATGTTCACAACATATACACGTATGTTTTTTATTACATTTTTATGACATAGGCTACTATGCTTTTGACTTTTTCAAGACATACTTAGTCATAGTATATGTAATAAAAAATGGCAAAGTATATGGCATTAGTGTCATTGAACAGGTCATGATCAAACTCATAAAAAAGTGCTAATATAGAAAGTCATATCAAACCCGTGTTTTATGACAAACTATGTATGACTTTTTTTTAGTGACATTCTATAATATACTTTTCTAATGGCATACTACACCTAGACTTTTGTATGGGCTTCAATTCCATACTTTTTTAGGACATGTCTTACGACATGGTACGAGTGTTTAATAAAAAAGTCCTTACTCTATAACTGTGTCAATATTTTTTCCAGCTGAGAGATGTTTGCCTCAGCCACCAGAAACTTTGTGGAGGAGGTGGATCCTGGAGGTTTGCTGATCCCAGTGTCCAGCCTGAACGACACCATTGACCTCCTGACGGTGGTTGTGAAGCATAAGCGTTTCTGGTTCTGGCAGAAAACAAAGTATAACCCTACTGATTTTAATTTAAACGATATACTAACAGGAGACACATCTATAAAGCCTGGTAAACAGCATGCCTCTTACTTGATTCATAATTGTTTTAATGTTCACAGAACACCTAAATGTTTCACTGTTCACACAGATGTCACTGAGTCAGACTTCATCACATACAATGGGATATACGGTGACAACGTGCAGGGTTCCATAGAAATATCAGCAAACTCAGCCCAAGCCAACGCCAATTTGAATCTGGAGGGTAAAGAGTCATCCAAACTCCAGTCCTCCTTTGGAAGTTTGAAGAAGCAGGAAGTGGATGTGAAGAAACTGCTGTGTGACTCCAAAACCAGGTACATTTCCCCCATCTGTTTCTACTGTCCTCTCTTATAGAGTTAAATGGGTTTGAAAGAAAAACACTGTAAATATGACATCTGACATGCAGTGTGTTAAAGATCTGGGAGCAGGAATGAACTTTGTACTACCATAAAGTTGCATGCAACAGGTGTTTCAGTTCAAGATTAACACCAGATTTCAGTTTGTTGTTTAGGATTAGTAGGTATTTTATCAGTTTCCCAGTACAAAGAACGTTCCCTGTAAAACATTACAGTATTATAATTTTTTTAATTCAACGTTTCAGGGTCCTGGATATGTCCCATTCCCTGATCCAGCAGGTGAAGGAGAAGCAGAGGCGGGTGTTTGGGATTGTGAAGGAGCGGATTGTGACCACTCGGCTCTCTTCGGTCATAGAGGAGGTGCAGCAGGGAGCTCAGTGTGCAGGAGGACTGAGCATCTGTGGGCCGCAGAGCTTAAAGGTACACTCATAAACTCATTCCGATGATAGTGATTGCACAAATCATTCTATAATGAACATGATATTCCAGAAATCTGTGTTTTTTTTCTTCAGAAAGACTTGTTGTGCCTGTTTGTACTGTTTGCACAATGTTTATCTTTATTGTGCCAACATTTTTTGGTACAACGTCCTCAGTTAATGCCAGCCTACTTTTGCGTTGGGATTCTTCATAATTCTGTAATGGGGAAGAGAAATAGTTTTTCTAGCCAAGAGGAACAGAAATGTTTGCCATTTACACTGGAACTTCTCTATTGGTGGAACATTGATTTTATCTTCCTCTTTCATAAGTTGGTTCTTCTTCTTACTGTTGCTAAAAACGGAGAGGAAGAAAAAGCCTTCTCTCTTTGATTGAGAGAGACACATCAAAGCATTCACTGTTTATGTCCTAGATTGATGAAAATGTATCTGATATAAAATGTAATTGTAGCAGCATTCTTATTTCCACATCTTTTGGTATTAAACACACCAGAAAATATCCCTTGCATCATCAGAAACAATTATTTCTTGTTTTAGAGTGGATATTTCCTTAAAGTAGTATGAGTTTTGTTAAAATGTTATGCGTTTGGACTCTGCAGGTGTCGTTGAAAGAGAATGGGAGCTTGAGTAAAGACAGTAACATCAACATGGAGATTCCCGTCCATACTACCATCGCCTATGCTCTCATAGAGCTAGAAATCAAACAGGATGGACGTTATGGTGAGCAATAATTCACACACATCTGAATAAACTCTTATCATTATTACATTTCACATTGGATTGTTTGAAATGTAACATGTTGTATTTTCCACAGGGCTGTGTCTGATGCCAGACACGGATGGGGGTTTTGAAGCCGATGGCCCTGGAGACTCTTATTCTACCCACCTTAGACAAGGTAAATTACTGTTCTTCTCTGTAGCCATAATACATGTGACAAAGATGATTGTTGCAGCAGATGACGTGTTCAAAAATGCATGTTGCTATGAAGTCACAAAGGGCCTCCGGAGATTGAAAGCCTCCTGTCTGATGGTTATGGTGTTGTAACTGTTCAGCATGTGCTTTGACCTGTATATTAAAGGTGGGGTAGGTAATTTTGGGGAAACCAGCTCGAGTGCGCTAGAATTTGAAAATACACAACCGGAAAAAATCTGCCACTTCCTTACAGAGCCCCTCCTCCAACACACACGAACGCGCACATGACCAATGAGGGCACGAGATAGGTTTGTGCACAGATGGAAGGCTGACAGGCAGGTAGGCCATCCAGTTATTTTAGCCGGGCCGGCTAAAATGATTGGTCGTGCTTTTTACAGCGCTACGGCTTCCACAGATGACATTTTTTTATGGATTTTTTGTCAAAGCACTTAAGATATTCATTGCTATCGGGATGTTAAGAGCATTCCATGGAATATAACAAAAAGTGTATCTCGAGCCGGTTTCTCAAACTTACCTACCCCACCTTTAAATGCTCTCATTGGATGTTTTTGCTTTACATTTCTTAATCCAATGTCCACTTTGTTTTGTTTTCAGAGCTGGAGGAACTGAGTGAACATTTCCAGGTGCTTTCTGATCTTCCTGCCACCACAAGGTCAACTCTGCTCCTTCAAATCACAAAGGTTATGAGTGACCCAGTGGCCGTCAGTGTACTGCAGAATGTGGTAGGTGGGGACAGAGAGGTTATATGGAGTAGCTAGCATTAGCAACTTCTGTTACACTGTTGCATCTTTTGAATACGATTGTCTTCTGGTGTCTCAGCTGGACAAGGTGTGCCAGGATGAGAAACCTGCTCTGGGTGATATAACAGCGACAGAGGCCCAGAAACAGAACATCCAAGCCATTCTGGAGCTTTTGGAGCAGGCTGGTGAAGAGTCCCCACAAGTCCTTCCAGCCCTTTACCTTGTCACTTGCTCCATTGATGGTGAGAAAGTTGTGCTCTGTGTAGCCTTCATTACTAAAGAGAAATGTAGCTTGAAGTCTTCAAGCTCAAAAAAACGTTCTGTTTTTATCCTGTAACTCCTGTAACTTTGTCTTTCAGAGCTTACAAATGATTGTCTTGCTTTCTTGGGAATGTGCTGCAGCCTCTCATTGTTACAGTCTCTGGAGCTACTGGTTAGTAAAGCCAGTTTTTACAACTAAGAACAGAACACAACATGTTATGGGAGGTTTTATCTTTTGAATTATGCATCAAATTGATTTAGCTTCCTGTTCTCTTTTTGTCACACCTCTTCCAGATTCAGTGTGCATCGGGGAAGGGGGAGTTGCCTCTAAACAGCGCAGGCCTAGCTGCACTGACAGAAGACAACTTTGAAAAGACTGAACATCTGTTTGCCGCCTCCAATGTGTCCCTGAAGAGAGACGGGGACACAGTGAAGACCGAAATACAACACCAGCCAGGACAGCTCCCTCTGGTCCTGTGTATCGCCGTCAGAGGTCTCTTCTCCTTGGCCCGCTGTGATTAACTAAAGACCTTTATATCCACCGGAAGCTAACACTACACTCGACAGAGGTTAGGGTCATCAAGTAGATCAAGTGTTATTAGTCAGTGATTTTTCACCTCTTGTTGGTGCTGTAGAACTTCCCCATTTAATATAATGTTCTAAATATAACGGTGCCAAAACAATTAGTCATGTAAAGCTTTAGTTCATCTACTGTATGACACATCTTCAATTTGACACATCTTCAATTTGACAATCAATTACTTGAGGTCGTGGATTGTCGACCATTTTGAAGACATTATCCCGATTGTAGCCTTGATTTTAACATGGAAAAAAAACAATTAATTACACTTTTAAAATGTTTCATTTTGACAATATTACTTATGACACAAGGGATGGTACCCTACAAGTTGTGCGTTACTAAGTTAGCCCACACTTTCAAACCAAACACTTGTGATTCAGCAATGTGTGTGTACAGTATAATATTCAGATAGAAAAAAAGGGTTTGATGACAGGAACCTGGATTTAGCATCTTATTTGGGGTAATGTCACTTCGGAGGTCAATTCTTAGTATTTTATAGAAGCATTGCCTTTCAGTGTTCCCATCTAACCACGTTTCCTGTATGTTGAATTGCCATTGTCTTGAATATGTTATGCTGGGATCAATATCATGTCTCTGTCCTTGAGGCCGACCAAATCCTTGATCTGAAACTTGTTCTCAAAATTCTTAGCTTTAGATTTTTTATGTAACAGCTTTTCACTTGGTTTCAATGTTCCTTTTTAATTGTGAAGATTTATACATCTTACTTTTTATATTTTTGCATGTTTTATCTTTATTGTGCCAACATTCAAAACAAAGAATTGTAAAAACTCATCTTAATTTTTGTGTTTTTTCCTGTTCCACATACTAACACATGCTGAACACAATACGTTTGTCATTGAGCAAAAACAAAAACCCAAAGCGGATCGTAAGAAAAACACCAGTTATTTATTTGACATTTGAAAATACATCTTTTATGAATTCTTGTAAAATATACCTTTTTTTAAGTAAATAGGAACTTTATTTAAAACGGTTAAGTTTTAGTAATATCACATCAACAGGGATGGTTCTCTGAGTTGCAGCACCCTGTTCAAGAGTCCTGTGGAAAGTGTTTCTTTCAAACAAAGACAGCACCAGTTTAACAGTCAGAAATATTTACGTGATCTAGATGTCTGACAATTAAACAACATAATTAATGTAATCTGTTGTGCTACAGTATAAGAGAAATAATTGGTTACACTACAGAATTACTTTTCCTTCTGTACAACATCAAACTGACTGGCATGACATTTCCATGTATTAGTAACGGCTGAGACTGCAGAGCATAGATGTAGCCTTGAGGAGGAAAAAGGTCTCACAAATATGCCACTATCGACATGAATGAGATGAAGTACTGGAGACATGTGCACTGTAAACTGTAACACTGAGGTATTGTTAGCTCTCCTCATTTTTGCGGAATAAATATTTATCTTACATACAGATGTAAAATTAAAACAGGACATGACAGAAAATTGCATTTGCTTCTAAAAACATCCTGACACAAGGGCCAGTACTTTCTTACAATCCACATGAATAGAAAGGATTCTTTAAAAGTTTGCCAATAAATAAGTACACTTCCTGTGTGTTCTGAGTTGCATAGTGTGTAAGAAAGGAATCTGAAAATTCAGATCAAGGTGACTGATGCAGCTTTGTGCGAGACCCATATACACAAAGGTCTGATGTCCAACTCTTTCTCTGTGTGTGCAGTACAGTGTTGAATCCTCCGTCCAATCGGGTGTCGCCCTTTCCTTCCTAGCCTGGCAGCTGGTACAGCCGTGTGTGTCCAATAGGCTGAAGAACATCAGTAGACCCAGCTGACTGGAACCCACTGCGGCTCTATGAATAATCGCTCAACCACCTCCTGCAGTTGGTCAAAGGCCTTGTCCAGATTGTCATTGACAATAGTCAGGTCAAAGTAGTGGCTGTACGCACGACGGATCCTGGCACTCTCGTCCACAGTCTTCTTCAAATCGTTCTCCTGTTATGGAGAGAGATACTGCCCATTAGGATGGTGGAAGCAACAATCATTTCATAAGTTAGAACCTCGAAAATCTTCATTTTAACTATTTAAGAATCTTAAATTCTCTGAAGACGTACCGTGAGTAGTTTGGTTGTAAGTCCAGCATCTATCACAGCTTTGTGCATAGCTCTTAGTGTGTCCAGTTCTGGAGCAGCGATAAACACCACGAACGGCATGAACTCAGCAGTCTTCAAAACTTTCAAAGCCTGGGCAGAAAATATGATGTCACAACCAAAGATTTAGGGGAGAAAAAGAAATACGCGTTGAAGCTTTGTGCCTTTGACTCACCTGAGGGTTGACGTCCAGGATGCAGGTACGGCCTGCATTCACCACTTCATGGATAGAGTCGATCTTGGTGCCATAAAGGTTGGCATCGTACTCGCCATGCTCCAGGTAACGACTCTCTTTGATGTCCTTCTCCATCTGTTCCCGCATCACAAAGCAGTAGTTCTGGCCGTCCATCTCCTCTTCCCTCGGACACCGTGATGTGACTGCAGATAAATAGGTGACGAGAGGTGTTTCATGTACCCTGTTAGGAAAATGTTGCTGCAGATATTCAATTACCTCAGCTGTCCGTCTCACACTCACAGGGTACAGTGGTTCCATATCGCAGAGGGTTCATGACAATAAGTCTGTTTTTCAGGCTGCGCCTCCCCACTCCCTGGGCTCCGATCAGAACAAGCGTTTTCCTCTGAAACGGCGGCATCTTGGCCACTTCCTCGTAGATCTGCAGCTCATAACGGTCAAATTCTGTTCAAGGAAATTCACAGGCTGGATGAATACAGTAATGTGCACTTACAGTTAAAACAGTTTAAACTTCTCACACAATCTCTTATATGTATGAAAATTAAATATAGCAGTGCACACCTGCATTCTTCGACGTGAGGTACATCATTTTCTTCTTCTTTTTCTTTGCAGTTCCACAGAGCATCCCTAGGAGAAATGTAAAACAGCATCAGATCGCCACTTGGTGGTGGTAAAGGCCAGAGTCTCCTGACTTTCATAACTCAACAAGAAAGCGCAGCAGAGAGCAAGGTGTGAATGAGTTGGCATGTGTGAACATAAACTGACCTGTACCAGAAGTATCCAGGTCTCTTCTTACGAAAGCTTTCCTCTTCTCCTCTAAGAACTGACTAGGGATGAGACCAGTGGCTCCACCAACCACTTTGCGTGCCTATGTGGGAATAAAAAGTAGTTTAAAGATAGTTTAAACATTTCGCAAAGTAAAGAAAAACAATGCCTTCATATCTTTAGCCACAGTCAATTCCTATGAACTGAATTCCGTGAACATAGACAAAAGACAAAGGGATGTCACAGATATTATTTTAGATAATGCCGCATTCATTCAATAAGCAACTAGGGTTTTTCTTTTAGAAATTCAATCACATTTCTAACTAGCTGTCCAGCTTTCGTCAAAGCAGCACTGTCCTTCACTGCAGAGCGAAACGTGTCCACTCACCTGCCACCAGTTGGAGTCCTCCTTGTTGACGACCTGAAGGATGTCTCCCTTGGAAAAGGCCAGGCCTGCCTCTTTACAGGGGATCAAGTTGTCTGTGGCCGGATTATAGTTGAAGTGGGGCTTCAGATAAATCTGTGAACAAGATATCAGACTATTACATCGTAAAGAGAGCATACACAACAGGATCGAGCAATACCTTCTATCACTTTTTAAATATATTGTCACATTTGGCTGGACAATGCAGATTTAAGAAAAAGTGTATTTTTACACCTAAGTAATTCCATTATTAACAGTCTGGCAGCTCTTTATTTAAACTAATGTTATCATAACAATCATGAGGACATGTCCACTTCCTTTTCTCCCCCCTTTATAATCCTCATGTTGGATTTGGCAGTTATATTGCAAGCTTTCAAGTTCTCTTTACCTAACTGCCGCCATTATTTGTGTTTACACAAAGCTGTTCTCCGCACATGTTTAATCTTTTTTTTTAAGACTCTGTGTCAGGTTTTATTTTCAATAGATGTTATCACCTGTTGTCCATTTCTACTTTGTTACTTCTTCTATGAATGCTTAAAGTCAGAAGGCTGAATAAGGGGGATGAACAAAAGTGACCAGTATGAGGAGTTGGAATGTTTTAACCATGCTCAATGACATGAGCAAAGTGAACTCGTTGACAGATTCATCGTGTCTATTACTGTAGTGAACTTGTACTACATAGGACCAATTTACAAGTGAAAACACTTAGCATAACTGAAAACCAACGTGCACAAACAGTGGGATTAGATCATTGGATCCTCCCGGCACAAAGGTCAGTGTCTGACATAACCCTACATGCTGCTCCTCGATGTCAGCTGCTGTGTGTGCCTGTTACTATAAGAAGGGGGGTGTGGGGCTCCAGTGAATGGAGTGGTGTGTGTCCCAGATAGTGTGAAGAGTGTTATTAATAGCCCCTTACTGGGCTCAATTTTCAGAAGCCTGGCATTTTGAGATCACCCAGGTCAGGCAGCTCTCCTCCAATCCCTGAAAAGGTACAGTACGACCCCTGATAGCCTCGCACACCTGGTACACCTGACTTACGCATCCTGTACCACACTGATCTCAGGATTTCTCTAAAAGAACTCCTGAATTGAAAAACCTGGCACTCAATTCAGATTCCCCAGGATTCTTAGTTCCCACAGGTAAAACCCTGGATGGAAAAAAGCCTCCTTTTCTTCACCCACCTGTGGGGGGGCCGGTGTGTCTCTGTAGCTAGGCAGGACCTTGAGAGTGATGCTCCCACTGCAGACCCCTAACAGCTCCTGGAGTTGATGGGGGTCCCGACCGACCTCGTGACCGTTCACCTCGCGGATAATGTCCCCAGTGTGCAGCATGCCCTGCCTGTCAATCGAGCTGCCGTGCAGGATCCGTGCGATCACCATCTCTCCCCGCTCCACGCGGAACGTCACCCCCTGAAAGAGAGTCATCATACATCCGCACATCATAAATCATGCTGGAGGTCCGTTTCATAGCATGGTCTGTCCGGTCACTGTGAAAGAAGCAGCTCATGTCGAGTTACTTTATAAAACCGAGTCACCCTGTTCTAACAGATGGTCAATAAAAGAGGACACGAGTAAGACTTTCAACACATAGCTCCTCTGCAGAGCTGTGGTTGATGTAAATGCCTGGCTTACTCACCAGTGGTTCCCCAGCTTTCTTCTGAATGCCAATCATCCTGACAGCATCAGCTGGCATGAGTGAACTCGTCATCAACGCATTGCTGTTCACCGCAGCGTTGGGCATTTCATAACACTTTGCAGCAACTTTGTCATGAGCCTCTATCAAAGACTGTGGCAGAGAAAAGTAGAACAGGGGAAAAACATTACAGACAGAATTAAGAGGGAAAATCTTATTCACAATCACTGAATTAAATATGTATGGTTACTTTCTGTGCCCACCGCCAAACGCAGCAATAACTGCTACAAAAAATGACTGCCAATGCAACATGCATTTGATTTATTACCATGAAACAGTGAAGAGGTAAATCACTTTACTGTGCACTTTCCTTATTAAGACAACAGTTTTATGACTGCATTGACAGATACATAATTGATATTGAGAGAAGATAATCAACCTTGTTCTTACCCTAGCAGCCACAACCTAGAGTTAGCATGGGTCAGAGACTAAAAACTGCATCAGTGAATATTTATTGAAACAGTAGGTGACACTCTTCTCCCCGGTCTTTACCCGCATAACTCAGCCTGCTATTGGCCCAAGGAAATACACCCCCACCCTCCCATGTCGCAGCTTGTAAGTGGTTGAGAATATAAAGGACGATATGGGAGCAGAGCTGCCACCACTTAAGAATATTAACCAATGGTTGGTGCGACAGGCTCTGACATCCATTCCCACACAAGCTAGACCATTCAATCTACAAATCTCCCATTTAACCACAGGCACCAATTGTGTACAAGAAGAATGAGGTCTTAGATACCTTAAAGTTTGGCTCCTGCAGGATTTTCAGAAGCTCAGCAGCTGCAGCATCTTTTTCAGGCATGTTCTGAAGGGAATCCAAGATCTCTGTGACCAGCTGGACATTATCATCCCGCACAGCTCTTAGCTTAACTTCTTCAAGACGCTCATGAGCCTATAAACACAAACACAACAACAAAACAATGACCAGTTTATCCGGCTGTCTGCTGAGAGCATGGAGCAGTGAGTACAATGACGCTCAACCCCCAGTGTTGCTGACTAGTGTACACACACTGTATGTCAGATTAAAGAGGTCAGACACTGTTATTATACCAACAACTCCATACACCCAATGTAGCAGGTAATAAAATAACCAAAGAAAGCAGTGCTCCATTTCCGAGAAATGAGGACAAGAGCTTGCCTTAGTGACAGGTTTTCTATAGAAGGGAATCTATTAATAGATTTGGTAGATGGACCATGTGACCTCAATCTGCATTGGAGATTTATTTCTGTTATGCCACCAAATTGTTCTTCATGCTGTCAAACTCTTTTAGCTATGTGGAATCATTGATTTAACTCCTGTTAAAAAAGGAACATTTCTATGTCAACTTAAGCTAAAGTCAAGTATAGTTGGGGATTAGAAAGTCATAGTATAGTATTTTCTCAAAAGCACAGTATGTCATTAAAATAAATCTGTATTATAGTCTGTCATAGAAAATGTCATAACAAAGTCATAGTATAGTATGATACTATATATATGTATCTATATTTAACCTTCATTTCCTGTGGCTAACAGATACATTTGCTGCTCTCATATCTAGAGCTTTGTGACCAGCTAATGAGATTAAAACTCTGTGTGTGTGTGTGTGTGTGTGTGTGTGTGTGTGTGTGTGTGTGTGTGTGTGTGTGTGTGTGTGTGTGTGTGTGTGTGTGTGTGTGTGTGTGTGTGTGTGTGTGTGTGTGTGTGTGTGTGTGTGTGTGTGTGTGTGTGTGTGTGTGTGTGTGTGTGTGTGTGTGTGTGTGTGTGTGTGTGTGTGTGTGTGTGTGTGTGTGTGTGTGAATGTTCTACCTTTGCCAGGGAGCGGACAATTGGGCTCTCCATGATGCCTCTGAGGAAGATGAGGTCAATATCTTTGGCTCCTGAGCCCGAAGGCAGGTCTTTCAGGTTGTCCAGTACCTGCTGCATTGCTAAGAGAAGAAAAACAAACTTCAAAGATTGACCTGACAGAATCTCAACTGCACTCTTTACTACTTTCGCGCTTATGAGCTTTAAGAAAGCGGGCAGAAATGTTAGAGACAAACAAAACTCATAGCCAGTAAAAATGCAAATGTAAAACAAAACAATGCGGCTATAATAAGAGCTTACAAAGCCAGAACAATAAGTAGACAGTCATGAATGCGCCAATTCAGAGAGAAGATCCCTTATTTCCATTGCAGCAGAAACAAGCACGCAGTCACAAAGGAATTGTTCTACTAACAGAACTGCATTGTAAACTCTGACAGTACGCAGCAAAAAACTGAAGCCCACGTTGCTGACGAATACAGACAGTTTTTCAAATATAATGCTTCGATAAAATGAAAAATTGCCTTCTTTACTTCCCAGTAATTATTATTTCATTATAATAGAAACAGTCATGCAATGTGTTGTTTTACTTTAGGAGAATACGAAGTAAAAAAAGAAAAGAAAAGTATGTCTGTGCAGTTACTGTGTGAGCCAAAACATTGTCTGTTTTGCGAGTACTTTCTGTAAAAAAAACGAGTTGGGGTTATTGTGAAACACAGAGGGACACATGTAAAAGTTCAGAGAACACACAACTATCTCTGGGCAAATTTGAATAAAATGTCAAATCTTGGATACAACAGTTCCCGTGCAAACAATTAGTTAGGACTTTGTCTTTGACTTCTTACCTTTGGCAGACTGTGCATTGGCCACAGTCATGTTTAATAATCCTCTGCTCAGGATGGTGAAACTCTCAACTGCCTGCTGACAGAACCCAGAACAACTGGAGGGCTAAAAAGAAAGCGCACTCAGGTCAGTATACTGTGTGCTCAGATCACCATACTTTACAAACCATGTCATGAAATAAATGAAGCTGAAATTACTAACATCTAGCTGTTAGAACATAAGTAGATAGTATGAATGCACGAGAGGCACAATAACACAAAAAACATGTGTTTGTCTTCCTGTTTCATGCACTTGTTAGCACAGAGAGCTCTTGTGAATTGAGGGAATGAGAAAGAGGTCCATTGAATGACAAAGGATGAGTCTCTAGTCCTTCTGGCTAAAGGTTGTGCCAGCCACACACACAGGGAGGCCCCCGGGGAATCTGTTCAAACACGATCTCCAAACAGAGTGAGGCAAAAACAGCACTACCAATGCCTAAGTGTGTAGGTGGACAAACAGAAGAATGGACTTTTTGAGCATAGGCCCCATTACCTCTTAACAGTAAACTGTATTAACATCATGATTGCAACAGTGTACAAAATGTCAACAAAAACAGCAAAAACTCAAATGATAATCAAGAGCAAAAAAAGACAAGAAGGGCACAAACTCACCTATAAACTATATTCAAATCATCAGTGCAGCACTCCGACACAGGTTTCTTACAAAACACTCATCTGGTACCTCTGGACTAAAGGGAAAGTAGGAAAATCATAAACATACAAATATTATTCTTGTATCATCGAGTTGTCCAAGAAAACCTAAAAACCCTTAATGACAAATGCTGCTCATTGTGGTAAGTAAAGTCCTCCCTACCTTAACAGTATTTGGTTGTTTTTTGTTAGGTGTTTTGTATGTTGTTAATGTTTTTACATACAATTATTATATATTTTTTTATCTAGATAATGTGTTAACAGAGATATATCTTCAATACTTTCTGCTTGCTTAGTGTAGTGATCCCTATTATCAAGCCTCTATTAGCTTATTTGGGTGTTCCTTTACGCATATCGTCATTATGTCTTGTAGCTGTGTTTTAATTATTTTTGAATAAATTAATAAACTAAATAAAAAGTTCAAAATATCAATGTCAATCAGCTTAAAAAAACCAACACCAGTGGGGCTTTAACTTCAATGTAAGATTTGTCTATGTGATAGTCTCTCTGTGTTACTGGGTAGGAAGGCAAACTGCAGGTTAACACATTACATAACAATAGGTGAAATGGAAGGAGTACTACAACACAGCTAAATTAGCAAGACTGGGGTGTTTACATTTCTAAAAACTGAGAGGTTAGACGCCCCGAAAAGTATATTGCATTTTCAACCCACTTCTAGCTTATCACAATGTTCATAAATGAGAGCCAGTAGAGTTGCTATAGAGACAGTTAAACCGCACAGGAGGAGCAGCCGGGTGTAGTGACGTGAAGGCTCTGTACGCATGGTAGCAGATAAGTTAATAAATGGTATATAAGTTTGTTTTCCTGTCATGTAGTAAGACTGTAGTAACTTAAAGTGGACTTACACCAAAAAAGGCAGCCTCCAAGAAGCGTGTTCGCTGCAGTGATTTGCTGTCAAGCTACATGCGCACTGGGCACGTGTAACGTTTACCACTTTCAATGTGAGGTAACTTAGCCAAAAACGACAACAAGCCATGTGTAGCTAATACGCGCTGGTAAACACCGATGTTAGCGTTAACGAACAACATTGCGATGTTATTTTCACCATGTTGAACTGCAGCTACGTTGTGCCTCCACTAGTGCCCGTCCCGTACCAAGTTGAGGCTAGCCATTACTAGTTTGAAGCTCATCTGAATGCAAGTTAGCAATGCTAATTGTTGCTAGCAAACACTGAATAGCCTTTCCATGTTACACGTTAAGTTTCATTCAGACTGACATAATGCTACCATAAACGAGCAAAATTACCACTGCTACACTGTCTGTTAAATGTTTCCATGTGAAGTGATACTAGCGTTATAGTTAACCAGTCATTAGATAGTTACGTTAGCTAATATCATGTGGCTCAGAATAGCTAGCTAACGTTAGCTGGTAGTGAGAACCGAGAAACTACAGGGTCCCATGGTGAGACCCCTCAACGTTACTCAATTGTCTGTTGATATGAATGAATGATACATTACCTAATTTATCCATTACCATCCAGTCACGCTTTCATGCTTCCCTTCTACAGTTTCTTAATTCGCACACCACTTGCGCAATAGTAAATCGTTAGTGCATTTCCAGCCTGCGCTCCTTCCCTCAGTTCCCCGTCCACACAGACAGTGATGTGCTAATGACATCCTATCCTATGCCGTTATCTGGTCCATTAAAATCCTGCTCAACCCACTCATACATTTACTCTAAACCTTATGTATAAATAACAGTAGTTGACAAAAGGTGTCACTTTATTCAATATTGTTCTCCCTATCACATGGAACGACCCCTAACAAAATGTGAGCTTTGATTTTAGCCTTTACTCTCTGCAATATTGTGAGTTGACACCTCAGTCAGTATCTGTTTGTTAACCATAAATACAAATTTAGGCTAGCTATTTAAACTTTAAATATCTCTTTCTGAATAGAAAATGGGCCAAAATAGATGGTAATATAGAGAGCTTTTACTATATTGTTAGTGTAAGCATTTACATTTTTTTCTCACTGGCAAAACTTCATGCATCATATCAGTGCCTACAATTGCATAGCCAACAACATATTTAAGAATTAAACTTTTAAGAAACACTTACCCCATGAGGAACGTGTACTGTATTGTATATTTCTACCATAGCCCTACATCTGGCTTCAAATAACAGAATTTCTACCACTCATCAGCATGCAGCACCAAGAGATATCCAATTCAACAAATCTGGTAATTCTGCTGCACTGAAGCTTCTTTGAAAACCCAGAGCTTTCATATAGTTACAGAACGCCAGTCTCTTGGACCGAGTTAACCAGAGTTGTGCTGCGTGATGTATCCAGGTCACTTGATTGGATTAAACTGTTAATCTATTTTCAGGCAAGGTGGAGCCACATCTCATCTGGCTTGAAAGAAACCAGTGAAATAAATGCAACATGTGGTGTGTGAAATTAACAGTTAATTTTTATTTTACTTTCCCTAAAAATATAACATTAGCAACAGTCATGAGTTATGAGCTACATGCCGAGCTTGAAAATGTTAAGATACATGTTCACCAGTAGACAGCACTGTTACTCCATCAGAAAATGACACAAGTAATACGTTGCTCAACATACTGACACTAGAGATACAAGAAATGCAAGGTAGTACTACTGAGTGTTAATCAACATTACAGACCAAACAAGTTACGCAACATAATTTTTATTCCATGCAGTACAAGTTGATTTCATGTGGATGGAGCAGCTTTGTGGTAAAATCCGCCTGGACATGACAGCTCCAGCAGCATCACCACAGTGGCAGCCCATCATACCTAGGAAGTGAAATCAAATCTTTGTTTTCTGACAGACTTTAAAACCCATGTTAGATGTATTACTGTTCATATTCACATACGAGAGGAAGACAGTGTAATACAAAGGTAAAATACAAATAAATTAAATCTAATACCACCACTAAATACAAACCAAAACAATTCCTTAACAAAGTGCAACCAGAAACATATCAGCTTTAGCTTCAAAATAATTATGAATGCAAATTAATTACTTTGAGCATTAGGAAAAAGCGCTATAAAAATCCCATCTATTATTATTATTATTACATTGCTGGTGTATGGAACTTCACTACATTGCAGGTTTGTAGTTGTATAAACTCATATTTTATCAGGCAATAGCATACAGTATTTTGGATAAAACTGATAAAGACATAACAGATTATTTGTAAAACAAATTGAGTGATTTACCTGCCATAGTTAGATCCTGGAAAACTCTCTGAGCTCTCCCTCACCAACACATCTGAAAATACAGTATCTGGGGTGTCACGTTTCCCATACCTATGCACAAAAGAATCAAGTAACACATTAATATTTCATTACATGTTCTTTTAAAATGTATTATTGCAACAGTATGTTATAGAAACGGAATAACTAACCTCTGTCTCGTAATGAGATTGATGTAGTGTCTTAGTGCAGAATAATATTTGGCGATCTCATCAAGTGGGGCGCCTTCTCGGGGGCTGGCAGGCTTGGCTGGATACGCGTTGATGCCAGAGTGAACACAAGCCAGCAGGCAGAGAGCCAGCGACATCACAGTGCTGGAGCAAAACCTGGATCACAGTCAAAATACATAAAAAAGAAAGTGTCATTCAGCAATTTCACAAATCAGAAGTAGAAGCCACATATTGGACTGATAAAATAATATAAATTATTTAAGAACAAAAAAAGAATTATTCAACAATGTAAAAATGGCCAAAATAAAAAAAGAAGCAGGATAAAATATCCAAAATAAAGCTTTTATGGCAGCTACACCATAAAAGCTGCCAGATCCAACATTAACTACTGACATTCAATTTACAAAATGTGCTTTTAAAGGAAAAGGTAGGAAACAAAAAATGCTTACATTGTCGTGCAACTCTTGGAAATTCTGCTGTAGTCGGTTTCTTGCTGGTCAAGGCTCCTCTGGCAGATTTCCAACATTGCCTGTGTTTTATACAGTGTGTCGAATGGGGAGGGGGTGTCATCTGATTCACTTTTAGGGTACTCCTGAGAGATATCTACTGCTTCATTAGTTTAGTAATTACTGATTGCCGAAGCAGTGAAACAAATGTAGATAGTCTGTAACAACATTGTAATCAAAACATGTAAGTGTTCACAGCATTAGATTAATTGAAATATTTAATATTTTACTTGGAAGGTGTTACGTTTTGTTATCAATATATTCAAATTAACTGCATTTATAATAGTCTTGCAGAAGGCAATATATCTGCCTTTAGGATACTAATGTATGTTTTTCAACATGATCAACTCTGCAGCAAACAATGAGTTGAGTTATTCATTCATTTTCAAAGGCACACACAACTGATTCAAATACATATAAAATGTAGTTTGTTTTATCCCTATTCATTCTTGACTTTACATAAAATAGGGTGGCCTTGAATGTTTGAAGGGTATAAAAGTGTACCCTTGCAAATTCCACTTTTCTTCCAAAAATAAATGTGAAAGACAAAGTATAATAATTTGCAAAGTAGTGATAAAAGCAGAGACCAAACTATATTAATTTAGAGTGTCCTTTTAAGAGTCACAGCCAGCATGATGCATCTTCATAAAACCTTTGATGTGTTGCTGATGACGGTCGGCTGTTTCACATTAACTTGATATATACTCCCGAACCATTGACCGCTGTGAAAGTGCATATGAGAACTATGGAAAGACCATGCGATAGCTTGACCCCAACGGGGCTTTAATGAGTTAGCTACCATTGAAAAGTGAACTATTAATTTAGCATCAATGCACAAAGGATAGCAACATAGTGAAGCAATAAGGAACCCTCCTACCAACACTACAGGAATTATATGTCATTATAATACGAGATTGTAAACCAAGCTCTATGCGCTCAATGATCAATATATAAATGATTTACTCCAAGGTATATATGTTTTCCTATATATGGACATTTACTAAAAGATGTAACTTGTTCTTTGAGGATTTAATGAATCACCACAAAAAAGGGTTTGACAACATCACTAAACTACCCGTTCTTCATTCATCAACCATTCTTGTTTCTAAATTAAATACAACAGAAAGGCTTTACATGTTACGGGGGAAGAAAAAGAATAAGCTTGATTAAAGCAAATTTCACTTCTCTTCCAAAGAAAATTTCAATGACAAAGTATATATCTTGGCAAAGTAGTGATAAAAGCAGAACATTCAGAGTGTCCACTTAAGGTTCACAGCCATCATTACAGCTCTCAATAAAACCGATGATGTGTAACTTTAAATGGCTGATGCCGGTCAGCTGCTTTTTACATCAAGTTTAAACATGTTGGGAAATATGATGTTTCAGAGGAACGCAAAGGTGGGGTCTGCAACAGGAAACAAAGACATTCATTAATTTAATTATGCATACATATTCTGAAAGGTAGAAAATAAAAATGTAGTCCTTCTTAAATCTACTTAAACGTTAGCATTTTAAGTCCCCTTTAAACATGAAAAGATTGGAACACGGTTGTATTAAGACACTACCTAAACTAAACCAGCAAGAATAGCTACAAATTACACCAAATCATACAAAATAGGTTAGTCAATCACTCAAACCCAAAGATTTCCAACTTCAGATTGATAGAGCACAAAAAGCTTTCAGCCCCTAAGTGGTAAGATTACTTTAATAGCAACTATCTTTTTTGAAGGGCACTCTAGGGGAATTTGACAGTAGAATGGTGCCTTCATTTCCTGACAGTCATTGGAGAACTCCGCTGAGCCACAGCAGTCTTTGTAGGGAAAAAACATATTTCTAAGCAACAAGGGTTTGCATTTGAATAGACAGAACAAAGCAAAATATCACTCACAATCTACCCTGTTGATAGTCAGTACAAATCTGTTAATATAAACGCCCTAACATTTTGAGAAAGGAAAGTAAAAAAACAATCAAAAATGTAATTCATTGGATATGTTGTGGAAAATAGAATTCATCCTGTTCCTCTGTAACCGTGACTTCTTTCACATGACGAGATCAAAGAGTAGAAATATTACAATATGCTATACCACTAGGGGTAATACATGTTCTAAGAACGATGGGGGATGTGCTGTATGGATAAATGGCAATAATTAATGCTATAATTAAATACTTAGCCGCATCAGCTTGCACAGTCACCTGCTGTAAAAGAAGGAACAGGTGCATAATGCACAGAGAGCCTTTTAAGTGCCATCTCTGATACGTTAATGTGATCTCTGGTATTACTCCTTCCCTGAGAGAGCACCAGACACGGTGCCAACTCACCTGAAGGACATAGATTCATATAAAGGAACATAGATATCCACATACTGGTTTTATTCCACAAAAATGTTTTTAAGCAGGGAATTGAAGTTGGAGTCTTGGTTGGTAAATTATTTATTTATAGCCATATACAGTATGTATACTTTTTTGTCATTTTGTCTGTAGTATGTGGTTGTACTGTATATATGAAATGTATTAAGTGCAAACAAGTGCCAGCGAAATAAATGTTTTGTGCCTCCCAATGTTCGTCATACAGCAATAAATCTACAATGCAAGACACTGTGCTACTGCTGTTTTCAAACGCTGACTACTCTCCCTCAATCTCCTCTATCATAGAATATATTAACAGCATGGCCATTAATGGCTACACAACAGCGGGTAAAAGGACTGCAGCTAATGAGAACATTAGCCCATGAAGAAACGTTTGAGTCTAACAGAACCAATCTTTTTTTCTTCCACTCGTTTCAATTGTTTCTTTAGAGCCATTTTGTTAATCCACCAGAAAGCAGATGGTTTAATAGTTTGTGAGAGGAAATGTCACAAAATGAATTGCATTAAGAGGATTGCATTAATTAGTTGTATACAATCTCACACGTGCTACTAATACCAATAGTTATTTGACATTCTGTCTTTAGTTAAACTTTGAATATTTTAATTTTGAGTCAATTTTAACTTCAAGTCCAAATCATTCTCGGTTAGTTTTTGATGTGTGTAAAATCCTATGATGGCAGGATTCAATGTTAAGTTTTCATTTAGTCATTTTTCACTTTCAGACCATATAAGTACAAACAACACGACAGAAAGTCACTAAAACATTCAAACACTTAGTCCAGTCAGGCTCTGTGTAGTTATCTCGCTTCATTACATTTTTACATTTAGCTAATGTTCTGATCCAGCATGACTTAAAACAGGTCATTGAAACGGAGCGGTCATTTGCAAGGAAGTGGTGTGTGTGTGTGTGTGTGTGTGTGTGTGTGTGTGTGTGTGTGTGTGTGTGTGTGTGTGTGTGTGTGTGTGTGTGTGTGTGTGTGTGTGTGTGTGTGTGTGTGTGTGTGTGTGTGGATCTGATTCTCCTTAGAAATACTTGTGACATCATGACAGACCCTAAAACTATTTGTAGAAACCACAGTGATGGAATTCTTAAAATGTTCACCCAACAATGTTATAGTTTTATCTATGCACACCGTAAAGGTTTTTTTAGAATAAAACAAAGCATGGTATCCTCAATCTCTTTGAACATGTTGAAAGCATCGTCTCAAATAACACTTTGGCCAAAACTCCTCTTTAACCTGAGGGACTCATCAGAACTTCCGTTTGTTGAAAGCATTTACTGAAATAACACTGCTCGTTTTATTGACCCCCACCCAAAAAATCCTTTTTGTTCTAAAACATGTTCTAAACGTAGGATTGCTTCTGGTCTTTCTCCAACAAGAGGCTGCTCAGTCAATAGGACCCCAAGGTGGAAAGTGAGACAATGCAATTACTGTAGTAATGTGCTTCAGTACTGCTATGAAGTTCTGGTACTTTCTGGAATATTTGTTCTTTATCTCCAAAAACGTCATTTAAACAGCAAACAAAAAAAAGAATGTTCATGGGTTCATTCTTTGCCATGAGTAGCCTACTTTTAGTTTTTTTAATATGTAAAATTCACAACTTTGTATTGAAAAAACCTGTAAAAATGTATATTAAAGGTGGGGTATGTAATTTATTTCAGAAACACTTTTTGTTATATTCCATGGAATGCTCTTAACATCCCAATAGCAATTAATATATTAAATGCTTCCTTTGACAATAAATACATTAAAAAATGTCATCTGTGGAAGCCGTAGCGCTGTAAAAAGCATGGGCCGGCTAAAATAACTGGATGGCCTACCTGCCTGTCAGCCTTCCATCTGTGCACAAACTTCTCGTGCCCTCATTGGTCATGTGCACGTTCGTGTGTGTTGGAGGAGGGGCTCTGTAAGGAAGTCTGAAGGAAGAGGCAGATTTTTTCTGGTTGTGTACTTTCAAATTCTAGCGCACTCGAGCTGGTTCCTCCAAAATTACATAACCCACCTTTAATTGAAAAGTATCTAGAATGGTATTAAAATAATGTATTGTTAACCATCACAATATCTAAAAACATACATATTTTATGAGCAGACTCAAAAATTATTCAAACATAATTACTTTATTTACAAATGCGGTAAAACAAATGTGTATACAATTAATCAATGTGGTGGGGACAGTGAGCCCTACAGTTTATCTGTTTGAGAGATCAATCCATTTATCAATTCCAAATACAAAACATGTTGTCTCTGACCAAATATGACTTAAGTGACAATAAAGTTGCTTATTACAGGGATAGAGGAGGCTGCATCTAAAGTCACAAAGAAGTAGTCAAGTTGGTTTAAAGTCAAGTCACAACTTAGATGATTTGTCACTTTGTAACTTTCCCATCATATATAAAGTCTTCCGGTAGGGTCTCCATGGGCATGCTCTTCAGCTGCTCATCATACTTGCGGAGAGTCCAGAGTTTCTCCAGTTCAAACACTTCTCTGCTCTCTGGTAGCATGAAGTGGACAACCATGTCCCCTGAGACAGAGAAAGGAACAGAAAAGTGAACACCAAGAGTAACTCTATCGACACTCCATTTTATATTAACTGTCTAAAGTAGATATTATAAAATAGGATCTCTTTGTTTA